CTGTCTGCATTTTTAGTATTTTGATTAATTTGAAGTTTGGCTTTGTGGGGGTAATACTTTATTTTTTGCAGCTAAATTTTGTTGCAAACGAAAAGCGAGTAGTTGGTCAGCTAAAACCGTGTCATCTAGAGCTAAGATGGCCACCGCAGTTAGGGCAGCGTTGGCAGCGCCTGCTTCACCAATGGCAAATGTTGCAACAGGAATACCTTTAGGCATTTGGACAATTGACAGCAAGGAGTCTTCACCCCGCAAATAGCGAGAGGGGACAGGCACTCCAAGAATGGGAACGATGGTTTGAGAGGCGAGCATGCCAGGTAAATGTGCTGCGCCACCAGCTCCTGCAATAATGACTTTAAGTCCTTTGACTCTAGCTTCTTTAGCATAGGCAAACATTTCATCAGGCATACGATGTGCTGATAATACTTGAGTTTCGTAAGGGATGCCAAACTGTTGTAGGATGTCAATAGCATGTGACATCACTGGCCAGTCAGAATCAGAACCCATCACAACACCGACCTTGATTGTGTTTGACATAAATTGTGCCTTTGAAAAATCTGATACATAAAAGCAACATTTTACCGTATCTTTAGAGGATTTGGCGGCTATTTTTAAGAAAATACTTACTGATATGGTTGCCTCGCTCAATATTTTGGTTATAATCGCAACACCATTGATTTTTCTATCCTATTATTTAGATTTAAAAAAGTCAATGTATTTAAGATAAACTTTAATCGATCTACTATTGATGGGGGATAATATGCGTAAATATTTGGCAGAAATGCTAGGAACGTTCTGGTTGGTGTTTGGTGGCTGTGGTAGCGCAGTGTTTGCTGCAGGCGTTAATCTGGGCATTGGATATGTTGGCGTTTCGTTTGCTTTTGGCTTAACACTGTTAACGATGGCCTATACTATTGGGCGTATTTCAGGTTGTCATATTAATCCAGCTGTTTCTGTGGGTTTGTTTTTGGCAGGACGTATGAATGCCAAGGATTTGCCTTTCTACATTATTGCTCAAGTTATCGGCGGTATTTTGGCCGCAGGCTTATTAATTTGTATTCTCAAAGGCGGCCCAAATGGCTATGATGCTGCTGTGAGCGGATTGGCTGCTAATGGCTTTGGTGAGCACTCTCCAGAAAAATATAATATGAAATCAGCTTTTTTAATCGAATTTGTATTAACTTTTTTCTTTTTAATCATAATT